GGCCGGCACCGGGCACGGGAGCGTCGCCGGGGAATGCTCGCCGGATGTGCGCGGGGCTAGCAGCCCCGCTGTGCGGGATGGCCCCGCCGGTGTGGGAGCACTGGGTGCGCGGTCAGCCCCGGCGCACTTTGTGCCCAGATGTGCTCTCGCCCAGATGTGCGCACTCACCGGGGCATGCAGGACCCCGGCCATTCCATCACCTGGCTGTGCACCCCCAGCGAGGGATGAACCCACACTGCGTGCCCAGATGTGTGCCCTCACACGGCTGTGCCCCCCAGGTGTGCCCTCCCCAGATGTGTGTGCTCATCCAGATGTGTCCTTAGCCAGTGCACCCTTGCCCAGCTGTGTGCTCTTGTCCAGCTGTGCCCACCCCCCCCGTGCTCACCCATGTGTCCGCAATCCCCTCTTCACCCCTTCTCAGAGCCCTCCAGCTGCCCCTGCCCCAGGATCAGCGGGATCGCCCTTGGGCAGCACGATCCTCACGGCGTTCCACAGCCTGTTCTTAATTGGCTTCCCCTTCGTCGTGACTGAAGGAGGCAATAATTAATGCTGTTGCTCATCAGGTGCTACAGCAGCGCCCGTGTCGCAAGGAAGAGCCTCCCAGTGGCACGGTGCCTGCCATGGCTGGCGGTACAGCCAGAGGGTCCTTCCTCCGTGGCGCAGGCACCTCTGCCTCATCGCTTTGGTGTTTGGGCAGGAAAACAGCTCCGCTCCTTGTATTTTGCTTTTGGGACGGGCTCTGGCTGATGGGAGCTGCTGCCTTGGCGCTGCCGGGGCTCTGGGGCAGGCTGTGCCCAGCGCTGCCTGCCCTGGGGCAGCTGCACATGGTGCCCTGCCTGCATCAGTCCTGCCGGCCAGAGCCAGCCCTGCCCAGCCTCACCCTCTTCCTCCTCCTTCTCCGCAGTTTGACGCTGAATTTCGTCGCTTCGCCATGAAGCGCTCTGGTGTGGGCAGCTTCCAGGACTTCTACCACCTGCTGCAGACGGTGCACCAGATCCCACGGGTAGATGTGCTCCTCGGCTACACAGATGTCCACGGTGACCTCCTGCCCATCAACAATGATGACAACTACCACAAAGCCCTCTCCTCCGCCAACCCCCTCCTCAGGGTCATCATCCAGAAGAAGGGTAAGCAGAGCCGGAGAAGGGTGCAGGATCCAGAGAAGGATGCTGGATCCATCCTCCCCAACCAGGGAGATGAGCCATGTCCCACGGTACCCCAGGTTCCGTGTTTGGGCTGTGCCAGTGGCTGTGGTGGCTGGTCATATACCATCCAGCCG